CACATTTTTATATTAGTGCTACCAGTATTACAACATTAATATTCTAACTTATTTGTAACATTTGAACTTTTGATTTAGTGCAATATTTTGTACAGCCATTAGGGACTGCCAGTGAATGGCTGTTGCATGGATAAAATGCAACCTTTTTATTCTGACAGTGTATGATTTCTATTAACATTACAGAATAGAACATGATCAATATTATCTTTCAGCGTTCAATTTAAATAACTGTAATTGCACAAACTATGTAGGCTACAATTTCAGTTTGTTTATTGTGAAATAACTCTGTCCTTCTGTCCTCTGATAAGCATTGTTCAGGGCTGCCATTCCCAAAAGCTTTAATGCTTTCTTATGATACTTTTGGGAAACGCAGCCCTGTTTGAATGCACTGTCAGAAGTGAGTGAGTGAATGCTCTCTGTGATTGATTAGTTCTGTCTTGCAACATTTGCGTGTGTTCAGATGAGCAGGAAAATAGTTCTATCCTACACAATTACTCGCTAACAAAGGTTATTCGTCCAATTCAATGCATTTGAACGCATTATTATTATTTTAAATAAACAAAATCACTGGTAAATAAAACACACCTTAGTATCGATATTTTTTGTTTGAGTATCGATACTTTCGATACTTTTCGATATATCGATACGCCCATCCCTAAGTCACACACTGCAGAAAAGCTTCAAGCGGTTATAGGTCAAGTCTTTAGCTCTTCAGGGTCTGACACTCGTTAAAGATGTAATCTTGTTAAAGGCGATTTGTTTTCAGTGGCTGGGAGATCTGATATGTCTTGGTATAAATAGCCATTACTTAAAAAAAACAAAGACTGATATTTCATAATAGCTAAATGATCCTTTTTGCATGCTTAATTACATTTAGCTTTATTTCTCTCTGTCTCTCTCTCTTTTCTTGCCTCAGGTTATGAAAAGACAGAAGACACGTCAGAAAAGACTTCTTTAGCAGACCAGGAAGATTCCAGACTAATTTTTATCAGTCAGCCCCAGTTCACCAAGTTCTGCAGTAATCGGGTCAGGTACGTGTCCTTCCATGTGTATTGTGCAAACATCGGTTTCCTCAAACAAAGGCTGAACAGGCCTTCATGGTGACCACGGGGATGATGAACTTCAAGAAGGTGGATGAAGCCAGTGAAATGTTGTTTATAAAAACTTGTTCAACACTGGAATTTATTGATTAAAATATTGTAAGTGTAACTACATGTATTCTTTTACCTAGTACTTCTTTGAGTAGTTTAATTTCATGATTCATACTTTTATTTAGCAAAAATACACTTTATTTTACGCTGTCCTTGTTACAGTGTAATTAATTATAGGCCTACATTTAAGTACTGAGTTTCTATTATTCAAAGAGTTCTGAAAAATAATATATCATGGTAACCACAAAAATATTAGGCAGCACAACTATTTTTAACATGTTTCTCGAGCAGCAAATCAGCATATTAGAATGATTTCTGAAGGATTATGTGACACAGAAGACTGGAGTAATGGCTGCTAATTCAGCTTTGCCTTCACAGGAATACATTACATCAAAAAAAAAATGTTTTTTTGCAGTTTTGCTGTATTTATCAAACAATTGCAGCCTTGGTGTCTTCTTTCATAAAAACATTTTTAAAAAAAATCTTGTTGTTCCCAAACTTTTTGAACGTTTGTGTAGGCAGCAAGGCAACTCAGTTGGGTTCAGAACAGAACTTATATCTAATGTCACTAAAACAAAAACAAAAGTGTTGAACAGACTGTACTGCCATGGCTGGATGGATGGATGAAGATGGTTTTGAAAAATATTTGAGTGGGAAGGAACTGTACGAATAAAGTGTCACATTAAAACTAGTGAGCTGGTATTTGACAGACAAGAGAACGTATTGCTGTGTTCAAGCCACCACAGTGGCTCACAGTGTCCAAGTTACATATGGACTCATAGTGATGTATGGCAGGCAGAGAGGAGGTAGAAGCAGGCGCTGCAGTTAATATCTGATATCTGCTGAATCACACTCTGAATTACCTTTAAGGAGCAGTTCATCAAAAAATGAAAATTGTGTAATTATTTACTCACCCTCAAAAGATCAGCCTGAGTCAGTAAAATGAACTGATTGGAAATGACAAATATTTCAGCATTTGTGAAGTGTAAGATGCTTGGTGGTTTTTCTTCCACCCTGCAGTGAGAGAGCATTCATCCAGACTTCATGTCACTCAGACTGCAGACCTTCAGTATTGAAACCCAAAAGCACCTATTTGATAGTTCCATCTAGTGATCATAACAGCCACTGCAGTCTGACAAGAGCATAATTACTCGCTAATAATGCCATACTTTGATTAATGCAGGGAAGAACAACGTGCTGTCTCATGTCTGGACTGTTTATCTGTGCTTTTAGGTATATAGAGAGCTGACTCTCATGCAACAGATAAATCATTAGTTTTAAACGGCCAGCTCCACTGTCAGACCAGGTTAATGTTTGCATTCCTGCAGTTTGAGAGACTAGGGAGTCCTGCTTGCTTATGTGTATTTATTTTATGTAAACTGCCATGAGAAGAAAACAGGCTTTAGTTGTAATAGGTTACTGTCACATTTAGCTGACAATCAGTAGGTGCTCATTTAGAAAGATCACACGCAAGGGGTAGGATATCATTTTAATTTCCTTGTGCATTTGTTCTCCTAGGAACAGTAACACTTAATATAGCATACAAATGTTTGTGTTCCTTAAGTAAAATAAGTCAGAAATTCAAACGAAACTGTATTTTGTATTTTCGTAGCTTTTAAAAAATGTTTTATCTCCATCCCGATTCTAAAGTTAAAGTTTCTTGCATCAAAAATCTGTTTATTTAGTTTTGTATGAGAATGTCCCACCCTCTCTCTGACTCCTTTTGCCAGACATTTGTATGTAAATGACCTCCTTTGTGACTGGATAACCTCCACATACTGCATTACTTGACATTTGTCATTCATCAGGCCAATATGGTTAATACCGACTGAAAGTCATTGACCACTTTGAGAGGTGTGTTTGCTAGATTAAGCCTTTATATACATACAGGTGCATCTCAATCAATTAGAATGTCGTGGAAAAGTTCATTTATTTCAGAAATTCAACTCAAATTGTGAAACTTGTGTATTAAATAAATGCAATGCACACAGCCTGAAGTAGT